GAAACGGCAGGGCCGTTTTTTCACCGTTTCCAAAAACATGTTCCTTGAAAATGAGAACGGCAAAAAAACGGCGACCGGAAACGGCCAAAAAAAAGCTCCAGGATTGGAACCGGAGCTGGAACCGGTCAAAAAACGGCGTCGGAACCGGTAAAAAACTGCAAAACGGAACCGGTAAAAAAAAACGGCCCTGTCGTTTCCAGGGCCCACTAAGGCCTGGAGCACCCGTGCCAGCGTGGCCGCCACTCCGAGGCGTGACGGACCTGCGGGGCTGCACAGGACGCTTGGCCACCGACCCTGCCCGGTGCCCCAGGCCGCTGCGCCTGTTGCTGCTGCTGCGGCTGGGAGGGCCCAGCGGCCATCGCCTCGCGGCGGGGGGGGGTGCTCAAAGCAAAAAGCACGAGGACCACTAGAACAAGGATTGAGCGAGCCATGCACGGGAACAGTCACCAGAACACGAGGGCCAGAATCCCAATAGCTCGGGTCGCCTCCTGCTCCTCTTCCAGGTCGTCCTGCTGCAGATCACGCTCCACTTGCTCCGCGCTCGCCGCGCCCGAACCCTAATTCGGCGACTTCCTCGTTGGCCGGCACCCACGGAACACACACACACACACACACACTACATTCACCAAATCAGGTCGCCCACTCCTTCCCTGATTTGACGGTAGCACCACGCTCTCCTCATCACAAGACAGCAGGTCCTCTCCTCAATATCTATCTCACGTAGCAACGCAGGGGATCTCACAGTGATCTCACAGTGAAAAAAAACACTCGATTGGCCACGTGGCAACGCAGGGAACGAAAAAACAACGATTCTACTCTGCCCGCCACATGGCAACGAAGGGGAGGGGCGAACAAATACATGACACTTCTACCCTACTGGCAGGTGGCAACGCAGGGGAAGCGAAACAGGTAAGACCCTAACACTTGCACACTAGCCCTAGCACCACTAACCCTGACACCGAAACCCCAAGCACAAACCCTAACCCTGGCACCCTCACCCTGGCCCTATTACTCGGACGCGAACAATGTACCCCTGAGCGAGCTAGCCCTCACACCCTATCCTGAACCTTACCTAATACGATAGCTCTAGCCATAAACACTAGCAACCTGACCCTAACACTAATACTAACCCTATCACGCCAACGCTCAACGCCTGAACCAGAACCCTGACATGCTAACCCTACCGGCCTAACCCTAGCCCTAGAACCCTAACCCTAGCACCCTAACCCTACGGATAACCCTGACCCCAACACCTTAAGCCTAGGCAACACATTAAGCATTAACCTTAAACCTGACACCCTGAGCCTAGCACCCTAACACTAAGCAGCAACACCTTCTCTCTACGCATGTGCGCATTCCCTGAAATCCGAACCGAACCCAAGGCAATACCCTAATCCTAGCATTGGCCCTGACCCTGACATACTAAGTCTAACCGTAACACCCTAGCATTACCACCCAAATCCGAACACTCTAGCCCTAGCACCGGAACCCTAAAACCCGAACACTACACCCAACCCTAAATATTATCTCGAACGCCTTAACTCTGAGACCCTAACTGTACAACCCTAACGACCTAACGACCTAACCCTAGCACCCGAACGCAACACCCTAACCCAGTAACCCGAAAACTCCAACCCTGACCAGCCCCACCTCTCTCCTTCGCGCAAGAGGCCACTCCCCCCTTCTCCCTGCTCCACTCCACTGGCTCCGTCATTCTACTGACGGTGTCAACGCAAAGCGGGGGGGGGGGAACACATACGAGTCCACCCTACTCGCCACGTGGCAAAACAGGGGGACGAATGAGGAATCTCCCAATCCACGAACCTCGTTGCAACGCCAGGGGCCGAAGCAAAAGCATACCTGCTTGACTCGTCAAGTGGCAACGCGAGGGGCAGACTCTACTCGCAACGCCGCCACGCAGAATAGCGATGACACACACACACACACACACACACACACACACAAGTACTCGACTTGTTGCGTGGCAACGTGGGGGGGGACGGAAAGAAACTACGTATTTCACTCGACTCGCCACGCTGCAACGCAGGGGGGGGGGCGAACTAACACAGACCACTTCACTCGCGACATGGCAGCGCAGGGGGGGGGAACAACAACCTAACAATTCTACTCTGCACGCCACGTGGCAACAGGCAACATAGAGGGCGAGACAGATACCACCTTGACACTGGCACACCAGCCATAGCTGCTAACACCCTAACCCTATTACATTCACCCCAAACACGAAGCGAAACCCTGAAATCCTCACCCCGAACCTGTCATGCGAACATGAACACTAGACCCCTGTGCAAGCTAGCCTTCAAACCCTAACCCTAACACCCTAGCCCTGGCGCCCTGACTCTAACGACCTGACGCGAGCACCAATCCTACCAACCTAACCTTAACACCCTGACCTTAACCCTGACACACTGACACAATAACCCCAGCACCCAAGCCCTCACACGATCACACTAACCCTACGCATGAACCCAACCCTAAAACCCAATCCTACCACCATAAACCTACGCAGCACCCCAACCCTCTAGACCTTCCACCCTAGACCTAGCACTGTAAGCCTAACATCCTAACCCGAACACTCGAAATCTAAACTCGATTCCAAAACCCTGTCACCCTAAACCCTAACCCTTTTCTGGCCGCCTCCGCCCCAAATACTCCTTCTCCTCTGGACCCTCCCCCACAGAATCCTCGTTACATGCACCTCGTCGTTCCCCTGCGGATCCTCGCTCACACACCTTACAGAACATCCGACCTACTGAGATGATTTCCGATGGCGTCCAATGGAAAGACAACCCAGAATCATCAAACTAAATCGAAGCATGAGAAACAAACATCGCCGAATCCGTGCCGAATCCGCGTCGAATCCACGCCAAATCCGCGTCGCGTCCGCATCGAGCCCTCGTCGGGCACAAGAAAGACACCAAGTTGGGTACGACAGGCGAGGTCCCCCGAAAATGCAACGTAATCTCCCCTCAGATCGGACGTCGCGGAAAGAATGCAACACCTAAGACGGAGCCAGGACGAAGATAACATCGGGGGAGGATGAATCGAGAATCTCTGAGGTCTGGCCGAAGTGTTCCGGAACGCTCTGAGAGCATTCCGGAACGCGCTGGAACGGTTTTATCCGCGTCCTATAGCGGTGGTTGTGGTCATGGTTGTGGTTGTGGTCATTTCCCTGGTGCAGTGGTTGTGGTCATTTCCCTGGTGCCAAACTTAACGAAAATGACCACAACCACTGCTTTGTTTCTGCTGGCTGGAAGGCGGCAACAAAGAAAAGCAGTGGCTGTGGTCGTTTTCACGTCCTGTATGATATAGTCCCGTCCGACAGCCCCGTCGTTCTGCTGCATTTTTCAAACCGGATCGACCCTAGATGGCCCCCAGAGGCCCGACGCCCGGCGACAGCGCCCACTGCGAAAAAGCTGCTGTGCCCCGATCTCGGGGTCCTCTTCCTGTCGCCCCCCTCCTCCTCCTCCTCCTCCTCCTCCTCCGCCTCCTCCTCCTCCTCCTCCTCCTCCTCCTCCTCCTCCTCCTCCTCTCCTCCTCCTCCTCCCCCTCCTCCACCACCTCTCCTCCTCCGCCTCCTCCTCCATCCTCCAGCCTCCTCCTCCTCCTCCTCCTCCTCCCCTACCCCCTCCTCCCCCTCCTCCCTTCCCCTCCCCGACCTCTCCCCTCCCGCCTCCTCCTCCCTCCTCCTCCTCCTCCTCCTCTCCTCTCCTCCACACCTCCTCCTCCCTCCTCCTCCCCCCCTCCTCCTCCTCCTCCCTCCGCCTCCCTACTCCTCCTCCTCCTCCTCCTCCCCTCCGCCTCCTCCTCCTCCACGCCCTCCAACCGCCACCTACTCCTCCTCCGCCTCATCCTCCTCCTCCTCCTCCTCCTACCTCCTCCTCCACCTCCCCCTCCTCCCCCACTCCTCCTCCTCCTCCTCCTCGCTCCTCCGCCCTCCTCCTCCTCCTCCTCCTGCCTCCTCCTCCACCTCCTCCTCCTCCTCCTCCTCCTCCTCCTCCCTCCTCCCCTCCTCCTTCTCCTTCACCTCCTCCGCCCTCCACCTCCTCCTCCTCCTCCTCCTCCTCCTCCTCCTCCTCCTCCTCCCCCTCCTCCCCCCTCCTCCTCATCCCCCTCCTCCTCCTCTCCTACTCCTCCCTCCTCCTCCACCTCCTCCTCCTCCTCCTGGTCCTCCTCCTGGCACCCCCCTCCTCCTCGTTCGGGTCGGACGAGAGGGCGAGACAGCAGAGGAGGGGCCGACGATTCAGCCGGCGCAGCTGGCTTCCCCGGCGCCTCCTGGCGCCAGGAAGCGCCAAATGTATCGAGGCAAGTGACGGCTGGCGGCGGGGCCGAATCCGGTTGCATACAGCCGATTTCGTACCCCCCTCATCCACTTCTCCTCCTCGAAGATCGATTCTCGATCCTCCACCTTGATCCTCGATCTTCCTCCTCCTCCTCCTCCTCCTCCTCCTCCTCCTCCTCCTCCTCCTCCTCCTCGAGCAGTGGAGGCCCATGCCGAGAGACACCCTGCTTGCCTCCAGGGTGCCCTGGGTTTTTTGGGTTTCGATGGTTCTTCCCAGCCCCCTCCGTCCAACCCCGTCACAAACAACAAGACCCCAGATCCTCTGGGAGCCTGTCCGGGTCTCGCTGCGACGTGAAGGCTGCGAGACCGGCAGGCACCCACCAGCAGCCGGAATCCGCCCGGCGAACGTGGCCGAAACTCTGGCAACGGGTTCGGGAGAGCAGGATAAGGAGGAGGAGGAGGAGGAGGAGGAGGAGGAGGAGGAGCAGGAGCAGGGGGAGGCGGAGGAGGAGGAGGAGGAGGAGGAGGGGGAGGAGGAGGAGGAGGAGAAGGAGGAGGAGGAGGAGGAGAAGGAGGAGGAGGAGGAGGAGGAGGAGGAGGAGGCCGAGGACGAGGCAGAGAAGGAGGAAGGGAGGCACCCCGCGGCAACTCGCGTGGCCCAGGCCGACCCGACTCATCCACCCGGCGCCACCGCGCCCGCCTTCGCCATGGGCATGATCGGCGGGGCATCCGCGGCCGAACCGCCTCGAAGGTCGCTGCTGCTCACCGCCCGCTTCACCTGGGCGGCGACGGCGGCGACGACGACGACGAAGAAGACGAAGACAACCACGACAAGAGACGACTACTGGCGGACGACTACCGACAACGTCGACGACGATGACGACGACGACGACGACGACGACGACGACGACGACGACGACGACGACGGCGACGGCGACGGCGACGGCGACGGCGACGGCGACGGCTGCGGCGGCGCCGGGGCGAGGAGGGGTGGGGACAAGGCAGGGGATGTGAAGAAGCAGCTGGCGCAGCAGCAGCAGAAGGAAGGCGATGAGGAGGAGGAGGAGGAGGAGGAGGAGGAGGAGGAGGACCCGTCGGCGACGATGCTAGAGGGGGGAAGGAGGAGGGAGGAGGGATGAGGAGGAGGAGGAGGAGGAGGAGGAGGAGGAGGAGGAGATTCTGCATGATTACCAATCTGCGCATCTCTGTGGCCTAGCAGACTTCTCTTCCTGTCGACTGGTTATTTATTCTTCATGTTTAATTGAGCGCCGCATTCCGATTAGGTTGTTTGTCTAAAGCCGCGGAAGGCGCTACCGCCCACAAGGCCCCAAAAAAGAGGAAGTGGACGAGAAGGATAACGGGAAGGAGAAAGAAGAGGGAGGAGGAGGCAGAGAAAGAGTACGACGACGCAAGGGAAAATAGGAGGAGGACGAGGAAGAGGTGGAGAAGGGGAAAGACAAGCAGGGGTCAGATGACGAGGAGAAGGAGGAGGCCAGCGCATCATGTCGAGACGAAGAGGAATATGGGGAAGCATGAGTGAGCAGGAGGATGAGAAGGAGGAGACGGAGGAGCAGGAAAGGTAGAACGTCGGAGGGGTAGGAGTCAGGAGAGGCAGGATGAGGGGGAGAGGCAGGAGGATGCGGAGGCACGGGACGACGAGATGATGGGGGGGAAGAGGAGCATAAGCAGCAGCGAGAGGGAGGGAACAGGAGGAACAAGAAGGAACCACATTTCCTCTTGTAAGCATCACATACACCACGCGGCGATGACTACGCAAACTCTTGGACTGCGAATCGCCACGGCAATGCATGCTCGCATGCGTGCAACGGAAGAGCGCCTAGCCAAATGTGAAGGCCTTGCTTGGGAACAGGAGGAGGAGGAGGAGGAGGAGGAAGAGGAGGATGAGGAGGAGGAGGAGGAGGAGGAGGAGGCGGAGGGGG